TTGTACGGCAGTCCTAGGAAAGCTAACAGGCAGTCCAGATAGGAATGGGTGGTGAGGCAGAAGGGATCTGGAGGCAGGGGGTGGCAAGGGGGCCCAGCGTGTACCCCAACCTAGACCACCCAGCCCTTCCGTCACACCGGCCCCTGCCCCTCAATGTTTTGCACACTTTGAGGCCTGATCCAGGGATTTTCCCTTTCCCTGGTGCCACGGCTCAGCACTGCTTCCCCCTCGGGGCTGCATCTTCTCAGGACCCACGACTGCACGGTCTTGAGCCGCAGTGCCTGGTTTCTCTCTTGCACCACCGTTGGTATCTTCTCCCTCCCCTCTCTCTCACCGTCTGCGGAAGTGCTTTGTATACAGTGAGTGCTTAATAAAAGTCACTTTTCTCTCCTCAGAGTCCCCTAACTCTTGCCCCAGCCACTTTCCCTGCTCCAACTGAATCTGTGCCCTAACCTTGTCAGAGACAAGGATAACGTCCCCCATGGCTCCAGTGTGATGGCGTTCCCTCCCCTCCCACACAGCACCCTGGCCCCACGTTCCCCACAGGAGCTTGTGGGGTGATCATTAGCCCATGTGCCTCCTGACCCCACTCCCAGTCACTAATTTGTGTGTAAACTTGGACAAGTCGCTGCACCCTCTGCTCTTTAGTTTCCTCTCAGGTAAAATAAGAGGGTTGGAGGAGACACATTCACCCATGCATTCCTCCACTCGCTGTTGTTTACTAAGACTGTGAGCCATAACTCTGCCTTCAAGGAGCTCTGGTTCTATAGGGTTTTTGTTTTGTTTTGTTTCTTTGAGATGGAGTCTCACTCTGTTACCCAGGCTCGAGTGAAGTGGTGCGATCTCCGTTCACTGCAACCTCCGCCTCCCGGGTTCAAGCGATTCTCCTGCCTCAGCCTCCTGAGTAGCTGGGATTACAGGTGTGCGTCACCACGCCCGGCTAATTTTTGTGTTTTTAGTAGAGACGGGGTTTCACCATGTTGGCCAGGCTGGTCTCGAACTCCTGACCTCAGGTGATCCACCCACCTCAGCCTCCTAAAGTGCTGGGATTACAGGCGTGAGCCACTGTGCCCAGCCAAGGTTCTGAGGTTTTAAAGCTGCCACTTTGGAGAATCTGTCCAGGTGCAACGCAGGCATTCCTTCCTTTTGTGTACCCTTTAGGAAGCAGATTTTGGCTCAGAATAAGAAAGACCCTTCTACCAGAAAGGCCCACAAACGGACAGGCTTCCACAGAAAGGGGTGAGCCTCTGGTCCGGAGGAGTCTCTGGGATTGCTTCCAACTCTGGGATCCTGAGATCCTCCGTAAAGGGTTTATTGAGCAGGAGAACCAATTTAACTCTGTTCCCATGAAAATAAACGTGGAGATTTACTTCAAACTCAGCAGCTCTGGTGAGAAGGCTCTCACACAGGTCCAGGTTAGACCCACACAGACTCCACGACCCTCTAAGGCAACTAGCATACAGCAGACGAAGGAAACGATTCAGGTGTCAGAATTGCTTTTATTTTTATCTCCAGTCAGTCACAGACCCCAGGAAGGTGAGGCCAGGGAAGGGAACAGGCACGGACACTGGGGAACTTGCAGGAGCTGAGGCCAGTGGACAACAGGAGTGTCTGGGGTATGGCAGCCGGGCTGTGTCCCTGGAGCTGTCTGCCGTCAGGGACTCAGGAGAACGGCTCAGGGAGGGCTCGGGAGGGGGTACACTGTGTCCAAGAGATGCAACCATCGTTCGGCAAAAGTGAACAGTGGCGGCTGATGAGCAGATAGGTCTGGGGAGATCTGAGGAGAGCTGGGGGCCAGATCCTGCCCCCAACCTCCAGCCACATGGGCCCTCGGTGATTCTCCCAAACCAGGCTCTGTGTTTCCTCAAGCAGCCACCGGAGGGCAGCAAAGTGCTTGTGCAAAATTCCAACCCGCCCAGGAGAGCAGCCAGGACACCTGGGACTTGGCCTCAGGCGGGCCAGAGAGGGAGGCACGGAGCCTGTTGGAAAATGGGTGTCTGTCCCATCCTGACTCCCTCGGAAGGAAGAGTAGGGAATGGAAGAACTAAGATTCCGGAGCTTCCCCAGGTGATAACAGAAGGAGCCATGCGTGTGCCCAGGAATGAGTCCCAGACTCGCACCCTGGCCCCCATCTGCAGCTTCCAGGAGAGGACTTCAAGGGGAGACCCCTCACCTCGTATTCCAGACGATCAGATTCCTGGCTGCCTCCAGCTTTACAAAATCCAGCCCACCCTTTCCTGGGCCCAGCCCCACCCAGTCCAAAAATGTGAGTGGCCTTCAGGCTCCCTTCCTCCTTTACAGCTTGCAACACCTGCTCAGCTGCGGTTTCCTTAATCCTGCATTCCTGTTCCCCCACCCTTCCTCCTTCTGACGCCTCTCCTGGTGTTTCAGGGATCCTCACTGCCTGGATTGGAGATGGAACACATAGTCTTTGGCCCTGACCCCGCTGCCAACACTGTGGTACCCGGGACGCCCCGCTCAGGACCCAGAGTAGGAGGCTGCAGCATCTTCTGCCTGGCCTCCCCAGCTCTGCAAAGAAACCATTTCTGAAATGGCTGTGATGCGTGTGTGATGTTGTTTATAGCTGAGGACCTGTCCCTCCTCCCCCAAGCTTTTGGCACTCAGCCCTGAATAAGCTTTTAAATCCCCAGTTTTTCTGCAATAACTTATCCCAGGGAGAGGAGAACTTGGACAAGTAGATTCTAGGAAGCATGACCAAGGCTGTCTGACAGTGGCAGGAGAGTGGGGTGCTGGGACTAACCCCTCTGGAACTGAGGCCAGAGATGAGGAGAGGAAACTGAGTGGCTTGGAGGAGAGGAGGTGGAGGAGGGTGGGAACCAGGTGAGGAAGTCAGTGGAGAGAAGTGTTCTGGTGCCTCTCCCACCCTATCCTGGCTATGAACTTCCACGTGGCAGATAGAAAAACTGAATCCCAGACAGCAAGAAACCCTCCCCTAACACCAGGAGCCCGCTGGCGGTGAGGTTAGAACCAGAAACCAGAAATCTTGCCTCCCAGTTCATGTCCGGAGGATAGAAACCTCAGAGCACAAAACCTGGCGAGGGGTTTCAGGAGAGACGGGAGGCCGGGTGGCACTGAGGACAAGAAATCCCCAGGACATCAGGGCCTGACCACCCACCTCTCTGTGTTCTCATGTGGTCTCATTCCAGCCCCCATCCAGGCCCATGGGCAAGAGTGATACCCTGTTTGCGTGAGGCAGCTGTGGGTCTGAACCCCAGGCCCACCACTCGCTAGCCATATGACCTGGGACTCATTACTGAGCCTTTCTGAGCACCTCGGCTTTTCCCTCTGTGACGGACATGAGCGGAGTGCTGTCTCTGGAGGATCACTGCGATGGATTAATTTAGACCAGCACACAGTGGGCATCTCACCTTGCCCCCAATGCCTTTGCTGCACACACACCACCCGCCAGTTCTTGGCTCCTTTTCTCTTCAAATATCTAAGATGGAACAAAACTTCAAATGCTTCTGCAATATTTCTTGAAAGCTGGGAGTAGGAAGGGTGGGGAGGGATGGGGTTGGGAAGGAACAGCACACCTCGTCACCCTTCCCAGGGCAGACGGAGCTCCCAGCACAGGGGAGAGAGAAGAGGAGGAGGGCGAAGCCAAGGGGGGGTTCTGCTATCCCCTCAGAGCTTTCCTGTCTCCACACAGTAACTTTCCACTGGCCTCGAGCTGGCCACTGCACATGCTGGCTGCACGCTCCCCCAGTGTGGCCTCCTGGTTCCCTCCCCACAGGCGCCCCCCTGGGGGTTGGAAGGCTGACGCACACCCTGCCTGAGATCCCAGCCGCCTGGAAGCTGATAAGCAGCCCTGGCCTCATTACATGGGACCAGCTGGAGGGACTGGCCCTGGCTGTTAGCATCAGCTGGATGGCTTCCAAATTGGAGAGATGCAGAGATAAGTGGCGGGGGGG